GTCATTGTCAGCATCACTTTCAGCAACCAAGCGGTTTTGCTCCGTCTCCAGAGTTGCTGCAAAGTTTGTCTGAGCCTGAGCAGCCTCCTTCTTCAGCCTCTCAACCTTGGTTTTCAGGTTGGTGTTCTCTTCAAAAACACCTTGAAGTGTGCTAAGGTCCGCCTAGGCCTTCTTGAGCGCCTCGTCAGCCTTCTTGGCGCTCTCATCCGCCTTTTTCTAGGCCTCCTCCGCCTTCTTCTGGGTCGTCTCAGCGTCGCTCATCCGCTGGTTGGCCGTTTTCAGATCCGCCTCCAGCTGCTGGATTTTTGACGCCTGTGTCATTATGATTGCTTTAGTTTCAAGATCATTTACGATAGTGGAGTATAAAGCAACATTATCAGCGTCTATGGTGGACTTCTTGGCCCTTTTTACCTCTTCCCGTTTGCGGGAATAAGGACGCTTGAGCCCGTCTACCCACAGCATAGCCTGCAAAAAAGCAAGCGGTATTAGTATTGCAGGCGGGGTAAAGCACTTGAAAAAAATAAAATTGTCAAGTCTCTTACCTCAGCCAGAAGGGATAGAATGCGTTCCAGATTGAACGTCTCTATCCCAGGGATGTTGTCTTTATCCCTCTTGCGGACGGTGTCAAGCATGGCCTTGGCATGCTTCTGGACGTCTGGCCAGCGGGGAGATTGATCTGCACCATAATCAATAGGTGATGAGAGTGAAATTAAGGCAGCACCTATCTGTTGCCGATCGTCTGAGGATGACGTCTGTTGGGAGTGGGATTTCACTAGCAAAGGCCACCCCAGCTCAGGCGGGGATTCAAAAGGGTTCTTACCTTCAGAGCCGGCCAAGCGGGAGCCGCTTGCAGGCGTGGTGAACCCCCGATTGCTGATAAGGGGTTGACGAGGTCGAGGCCCAGGCTGCCGCCTACCCTCTCATTTCGCCCCTTTATCCGCATCTGTTGGTTCCCGGCTGAGGCGCCAGGAGTTGAGGCGGAGGTGGATTTTTTGGTTTTGTTGAGAATGGAGGGGGTTTCCTCCCTAGCCCGTTTGAGATTTTTCTCAAACGTCTTTCCAACCTCCCCCCCCGCGAAAATAACCAAGTTAAAGTTAGCATCCGGAGAAAATAATCTTTGAGACCAATCTAAGAAAGGGTCAGGCATTTTTTACCTTGGCCTTGACTGCGGCCGCAGCTTTTTCCGCAAGCTCCTTGCGGATGACTGCAGAGGACCGCTTGGGAGTCTTCTCCGTCTGCAACATGTTTAGAGCTTCTTCTGTAAAAAAGAAAGAGATTGGTCAATGTCATAAATCAATTCTGACACAAAAGCACTACAGGTGGATGTAAACTCAGGCGCATACGTTTGGTAAACATGTGTCCTAGCCCGCAGGCGGCTAAGAAACACTCGTCCCTGAGCCAGGCGCTCTTGGGGATCCAATTCTTGGGAACTTTTATTGTTTCCCCAGTTGACAAGGTCGCGTCTGTGAGGCCGAAAAAGTCTGCCTCAATGATTTTGTCAAAATCCTCATCCGGGATCCGGGGAAGAGCGCATTTCCGGCCCATCAGGTCGGGCTTCTTATTGTACTGGCGGAATTCATAGTTTTCCCGCTTGCTGGGGGCTGACATCAGGTAGAACCTGTGCTTCCAGCCGTCGAACTTTGAGACCTTGTCCAAGGTCATCATGTATTGGGGATGCGTGGTTAAAGTGTACCACGCCCTCCAACCGCCTGGGCTTCAGCTAAGATAATGCATCCTAGCAAAAGCTTCCCAGCCGGGTTGGAGCCCCTGGAACTCGCAGGCGGCAACATACCCCAAAATGTTTGCCTAAGAGTTGGGGGTAAGTAGCCAGACTCCGAGGCCGTAGCCTCTCAAGATTGCCTTCACCGCCTGGTGAAGGGGAAAGCGAAGACCGGCCTTGAACGCCGCCTCATAACAGCCGAAGTAGCTGTTGGCGTTTTGTTGATCGTCTTCCCATGCGATGGTGCCGTCCTCAGGCGACACTCTGATTCTGTACCCGTCTCCTAACGGGTGCATTTGTGTAAAGTTCTTCAGGTTCTCCTCCATTTGAATCCTGTCCGTGGAGGAGACGTGAATTTTGAAGGGGTCGTCCTTTTCCCTCCATTTCTTTCTCTCCTCCTCCTCGCTAACCTCAAGCGGGGGCAAGTCGTCGCTGCTCTCAGAGGTGGAGGCGGAGCTGTCGCTCTCCGTCTCCTCCTCATTTTGGGTCAAAGTAGCCGAGACGGCCTCATCGCCGCCTTGGTCGCACTCTTCCAAAAAGGAATCTGCGGGAGTTGAAGGGGAACGCGGAGGGGATCTCTCCAGAGCCGTCTGGTTTCTCTGACCAGACGTTTCTCCCTCAGGCGTTTGGCCGCCTGAGCCCTCGCTTCTGTAGTTCGGATCGGTGGTCGTCTGCATAGTCCAAGCCATTGTGTCCTGCACAGACACATAAATGGTCGGAATCCAAGGCAAAGGGTGGTCCCAACACCCCGAGACGACACTCCCTGTCCTAGACTCAGCCGTCCCTGGTGACCGGCTGGACTCTAACCTAGGATGTGCCCCGTGTGTTGGTGATGCATCCATTTATTGCAAGAAATATGTACAAGCGGTGAAACAAGAAAAAGAGCTGAGAGAGGCAGAGATGATACCTTTAGATGTGATATCTGAAGATAGACGGGTCCGGCTGGGTTGATGAAGATCGAGCTTTCTTGCTTGTGCCTGACTCAAACGGATGACTTCTGCTCTCTCAAAGTTGTTTCTCTAGAAATTTTTTTGTAAACGTACAAAATTATGAGGGGCTATATATAGAGGGTAAATAAAGGGGCATTCCCGTAATTTACTCGGAAGGCGAACGGTTACTCTTTAATGGTAAAATTACCACCAATCGTAGCGTGACAAGTGTCACAGATCCCACGTGGCGTGCCACGTCACATCTGTGAGGGGCAAATGTTTAGGGTAATTTTACCCCGCAACGTGGTCCAATCAGAGGATGACACGTGTCAGCCTCAGGATGGCCCAAAGTGGACCAATCCCTGCCTGACACGTGTCACTCTAGAAATTAGGGAGAAAATGGCGGCCTTCAGGCCCAAATCTCGAGAAAGCCGCAAAGCGGCGCAGCCCACCAATGATTAGGGATCAGTGACCTAATCAGGGGCACAAATCCCGAGGACCCTATAAATAGGGAGATTTCTCTCTTTTGGGGGCACGTTTTATCATTTATTACACACTGTCCATGTGATAGAGACATCTGAGCTTGGAATCCGAGCAGATACCCACCTAAATTTCCGCACCTTTTTCTCTCCCTTCAAGTTACTAACTTGTTCGTCGGAGGCGGAGCACCACCCAAACGGTGTCTCCGTTTTTTTTGCAGGTACAGCTCACGCCGGATCAGTCTTCGTGTTGTAACTCTCCCGAGGTTGGTAAATGACTTTTTTCTTGGCTAAAAAGCCGACTTTTCTGCGAAAAAATAAAAAGTTAATCTTACTAACTTTTTTATATTGACTTTTGGCTTTTTACAATTAAAATTACTTTCTTATCCTTAATTAATTATTAATAATTAATATTAATTAATGAATAATAATTAATGAATAATAATTAATAATTTCATAATTGATGATTGATGATTGATGATTAATGATTAATGATTAAAGATTAATGATAAATGATTAATGTTTAATAATTAATAGTGAATAATTAAAAAGTAATAATTAATAATTAATTATTCATAAATAGTAAATATATTAATTTATAATAATTTATTAATAAATTGTAATTCATACTTAATTATTATATTAATTAATTATTAATAAATATTGATCAATAATTCCTTATCAAAAATTCATTTTTAAAAATTAATAATTAACTATTAGTAATTAGTAATTTATTATTATAATTAGTAGTTTGTTATTAATCATTATTAATTTCTTATCAATTATCAATAATGACTAATTAGTATTAATAAATAGTAATTAATTATTAATTAGTTATAAATAGTAATTAATTATTTATTATTTATAAAAAGTAATTTAAATAATAATAATTATTTAATAATAATAATAATAATAATAATTTGTAATGTATATTACAAAGATAATAAAATATACCAATACCCTTAAAAGTCATTTTTATGTAAAACAACCATTAACCAACTTTACCAAACATATTTATTAACAGCCAACAGTCAAACAACCAACATAAAAAGGCAATACAAACAGTTAGTCACAACAGCTAAAAGAAACAGCCAACAATCAACATCCAATTGCCAAATAACTAAATAAGGCCCTTATATACTAGTCTACCCATTATCAACTTGCCAATGATCTGTGACTCGCACTAGCCCAACCCACTTTGGCCCAATAAAAGATGATCTATCGACCTACACCTATCTACCCAATAACTAGGTCCAAGCAAAACACTAATATGAGCAAAATTTTCATATTGTGAATTTGTGACAAAAGAAGATACAAGGAGAAGGTATAATATTTCGTTAATGATGTAAGTTTAAGGTGACAAAAAGGTAGAGCCGTTAAATTAATTCAGGCGAGTTTTCATGGAACAAAAATATTAAAAAAAAAAGAGTTAATCTTTTACACTAAACAAAGATTATGCTAATTCACCCTCAACTTGTTTCTCATACCATATTTCTTTAGACTATGAAAAAGAGTATAATTTCATATAATATATATCCCGTGTATTAGCACAGATACATTCTAGTTTTCTATAAATTTTGAAGTCATTGGCCATGAAAACATGAATGAAGAAGTAGATGATGAATTTTGGGCCATATACATACACCATTTCTTTTTTTTATGTATATAAAGGAATGAGTTTGAAATTTTATAATATTTATTCAAAATTGAGTAATACAACATTTTCAATATTTTGGACCGTTGTTAAAAAAATAAAAATAAATAAAAATAAAAATAAAAATAAAATAAAAATTCAAGAAATAACAAAAATAAAGACATGTATCAAGGAAGGTATACTAGAAAGGTTTTGAGACCAATGGTAATAGTAATCACCTAAATAAAGTAGTTTGGATTCTATTCATCAATATTTTTCATATACTCCTTAGAAAGTTTGTTTTGCATGACAAATTGCTGTTCTTTCACAAGAGAGTAGCCTGATTCGAGAAGAGCCTCGACATTTTGCTACACAGAAAGACTGGAGTTAGTGCTTCGAATCAGACATACAAGAAAGATATGTTGTATGATTAACATATACAATATGTAAATGGTATTGAAACTATTTGAATAAATTCTGAAGTTAAAAACATCAAAATAACATAAGCTCATCAGTTGGAATGTGGACTGCAAACCTATGTCTTTCATGAATGTTATAATTTGCTTATATATGTTTCAAATGGTTCATATCATCAGGTGTACCCATTCCAATCAAATGATTCGCAGATGCCACTATATCCCGCGATAACAAAAACGTATTGTTTTCAGGTATATCTAGGCCAGGTTCAGTCACTGGTTTATATTTCGTCAACCAATCCTTCCTAATTTGGATCTTTAGAACTTTCTTCTTTTTTTTTTTTTTTTTTTTTTTTTTTTTTTTTTTTTTTTTGTGAAGATATGAGATCCCCACCAAAGCAAGCAAATTGTTGATAAAACTCTAAAATAGCATTTTCTTTTGACCCAATTTTTTTTTTTACTCATCATTCATAGCTGATGATAGAACTAAAATAGATATTTTTTGTTTCCTACTCACCCAGGCCCATATTCTTGCATTTTATTTTATTTTATTTATCAATCTCTAATTTATCTTCCTCCTTAATCTGTTAATTATGGTGCCAGTGTAGACCGGAATTCTGTTATGGTCCTTTTTGTTCTTTTAGCTCCATGGTGTGATATGTTATACTACAGATGATTGGATGGCCTAGACCTATTAAATGGAAAACGGATGAGAAAGAACAGCTATACCTATTTTTCTGACATTAAGGTAGTCTTAATTTATTCATTGGCAAAAGGGAAAAGAGAGCCACCAGATAGATAGACCTATTTTTCTGACTAATTTTTTTTTTCAACTAAATGCAAACATTTTTGTCGACATGTAGGTCTATCTGTTCTCCCTTCCCCTTTCACTAGTGATTATACTAAGAAGACCTAAATGTCAGCACTCTCAGCAATTTGCCTATAATAAATCGTGTGGTGCAAGTGCATGTGTGTGCATGTGCATGTGCGTGTGCGTGTCTGTGGGACTGTGTGTAAAAAAGCCTTGTCCATGTTAATCATTGTGGATCTTTAGTGCGGAAACAAGGCATATTTGATTAGTAATTCCATTCAAGTGTCAAACTACAAGAAATACTAAAGACAGCTAATTTTCAGACAATAAATACTCGAACAAACAGAATCAGTAGTGAATTGCTTGTTAAAACTTCAAACTGAGTTTGGCAGATGCTACCTCAGGTGGCACAAAAACTGGAAGTTTATCACCTCTCCTTTGCTTAAAAAGTATGCTTCCTAGATTCTCAACACCTCCGCATTCATCAACCCACTAGAAGAAGATAAGGAATTAACAATTAGTTTTCAATCAGGTAAAAAAAAAGCAAGAAGGTAGACTTCTGTATTGGAAAATATTGTTTAACAGTACCATAAGCTGGACAATGAATGAAGCCCTTTAACATAAATGTATAGCTATCCTAATTCCTACTGGTTGCAAAAATACTTAGACTGGATAACATGAATAGATAATTCTTTTGGTCAGATGATATAATCACAATCACAGGTACAGGAAGAGCACCCGATCAGTCATTTTTTAATCATGTTCCATGATTTTGTACAGCATAGGTTACTACCCTTCTGCGGGTGTGAAAAGGGGTATTAAAACAAAGCTTTTTAATGACAGATTATTAATTATTATCAAAGCTCCAAGCATGCATGACTTCATAAAATTTAGGTTATCAACCTTCTGCTAGTATGAAAGCGGCTTAAAAACAAAAGCTTCATATTGACCCAGACTTGCTGCAAAATTTCTTAATTTACGCTCAGCAACCTCTGAACTAAGCATTATCATAGCTGTTTCTTTTCTTATACAAAATAAAATGAATTTATTGCAGCATTGTTTATTGCGACTCCAGCATGGTGATGAGTTTGTAATAGTAATTAGCATACACATGACAAACATAACGCTTAAATTCCTTTTTATTCATTTTACTTTTAATTCTGCAGAAAACGCTTAATATTTAACTGTAGACATCATGCAAGAAAGAAGTACAGCACTTGCATGCAAATTGATAGATCCAAGCAAAGAAGAGTATACCTTAAGAAGAGATCGGTCGTATGTACGGGATCTCAATGCTCCATAGAAATCTAAGGCTGCATGTTTAGAAAGGGGCACAGCGTTTGTTAGTAAAATGTTTAATAAATACTCTAACTAAAAGAACATACTCTAAATGAAGACATAAATGATACAATAAATAAATAAATAAATAAAAACATTATCAAAAACAAATAAAAAAAATCAAAGTATTGCTTGAGGAGAATATTGCAAATGGGCATTCAGCCATGTTAAGCATCATTGATACTGTTCCCCCCCACCACACACACACACACACACACACACACACACACACACACACACACACCCAAAAAAAAGGATAAATAAGAGAACTTTAGTGCATGACAAGATACAATTAGACAATATGAGGTGAGTTTAGTTTATGCCAAGTTCTAGAGTCTTCAGCATATATCTACACATTATAAAGGGTACATGCTACATATCTCAAATTCCAGTTCCCTAAGACATCTGTACTGAAAGCCTAGTACCAAATCCTTAAAGGAAATGGTATGAGCCCTATGAGAATTGCCTCTAAAGGAAATTGAGATCCATAAAGCCCAAAAAATCCCTCAAAGTTCAATGAGAAAGGAAATATTGGAATTTTAAAAAGTCATCAGAGAACAGTAAAATATGTTCATGATTCAATCATCCCTTACCCTAGCAACGGAAAGGCTTTAAATTTATAATTACATAAGGACCCTTCTTGTAGCCCCACACCATCTTAAATTGCATTTGAGAAATGAGCAAAGGATCGGATACACAATTGAATCAACCTGATTTAACCAAGAGGGTAATTGTGTAATACTCTTGGATTCTAAGTCTATCTTTATTTCAATTTCAGTGCATCAGGGTCCTCTGTTAACACATACGTAAAGATAACTATTAATTCTGAAGAAATGCATACAATATTACCTTGATCAGGAAATGTGTTCACAATGCCGAGAACCTCATCCTTGGATATTCCATCTTTTTCATACATCCGATGAACAATGTTAACAATATCTTCATGATTTGGCTGCCTGTTATGACCAAAAATAAATAAATAAACAAAGTTACAGTAGTGATGCAGTACTTCATAACAGAAATAATACTATGGATATTCGGAAATTTTAGAGATAGCTAGGCGACTGTCATACTCAGACTATGCAAATAAGTACAAAGTGCCCATCTGAGACACCATGATACAGTAAACAATTAGGCACTTTAAACAAAAGAAAACACATAGAATAGTATATGATTCACACCTTAGCTCCATGTAAAATAGCTATTTATAACTCAGCTACTTGACATGCTCAAGTTTCAAGTTTCATTCTCATACGTGCAATCGTGTATAACATAAAAAAAAAATAAAAATTCCAGTAGATAAAGGGCCCATCTTGTACCATTATGAGTTCTCAGCTTTGAATTAAGCAATAGCTAAACTAAAATGTTTGGATTCAGAATTACCGGTGTCCGATTTTTGTTGTAAGTTTGGAGAGTTAAGATCAGTAGCACATCCCAAACACTTATTTGTATTGTAAACAATTGAAAATAAAACATAGGAAAAAAAAACAATAATTAAACAAATTGTTGAGTCGAATTATAAAAAAATTAGATAAATTACAAAACTAGATTTCAGATGCCAAGACAACAGTCTTCAGAATTGAAATAGAACTACATAGATCAGTTTACACTGGCTTCCTAACCCTTCCAATCTTACAGAAGCTTTAATCAATAAGGTCCGAAGAACTTCCAATGAACACAAAAATAAATAATGGCGACAAAATGCAAGGATCACCACCATATGATCTGACTAAAAGTAGCTGTACTTTGTCATAGCTATTAAAGATGATGGGCATAATACATAGCTACATACCAGTAGAATTTCTCCATCCTCCCATCCCGGATTAGAGGAGCATAAATTGTTGAAAAGTCATTTCCTGTGACAATAATAGGAATTCTATGAGTAACATCCGATTCACGCCATTTCTGTCCAGTGCTAACTCTGTTGGGATTATCAGCCAAGTTCATCAAAGTTCCAGAAACGATTTGATTGTTAACTGTCACTTGAGTATCTCCTACAAAAGGGAAATATTGCAGTAAATATAAGAGTTATGCCAATGTAGTCGTATAACTAACTATCTAATTCGTATCAGTATATTTTCTGTGAATGGGAGCTCACCAAATCTACCAATGCCAGCATCAATGTCATTGACCAACAAACAGCTCAATTTTCCCTGTACAGGTCAAGGACAACAAGACTGCATTGTAAAATTAGGCCTGGCTGGGAGTCTTTCAATTAAAGTGTTTCGCTTTAAGTTTATGTGCAATGTGAGAAGTGGAAGAAAAATACAGTATATGGGACTTTAGACAAGTCACTGAGATTCAAGTAGAAAAGAATAAATACCCACATAGTCAAAAGAAAATGTCTTTAAATACATCCTTGGAAAATACTGATGTAGATAGGAATTCCATCAGCTATCAGCTCTACTCTAATTCACAAAATAATAAGCTGATAATAATTTTGTTCCCATGTATAAATTTTTTACTTATTCAAACTCACCTATCCAAGAAAAGCAGAGCTATGTGACCTAAATATGAAACAATAAATAAAATATAAATAAACCAAATCCAACATACATAAATCATTAGAGATAGAGTAAAAGCTCCTTACTTGGTTCTGCACCACTTGAGAGGCTGTTCTGTATCGCTCCCGTATTAATTTACCAGGTTCACCTGTAATGTAAATCACAGTAAGCAGCATACAACACAGCGCTATCAGTTACACTGAACTTGTCACTACTTCTTTTGAAAAATAGCAAGACCTCCCTCACTTTGATAAGTGACAAAATGAAGCGCATAAGAGTGAAATTTGGGAGCATAGGGGGGAGTACGTGAAGGGATATTGTAGCTGTGCAGAGACTGACATTATCCTCAGTACTACCAGTGTTAGCCACAACCAAGAAGAACCTTCTCAAATCTGCAGAGGTAACTCAGCTGCTTCAGGGACTTAGATCGTTGCTCTTGTACTAAAAAAAAAATCCTCTTGTAAACTTTCCTCTTATTACTTATAACATGTCATTACTTCATTTTAAATTTTGTTTGTAATTTTTCTATATCTTTTTTCTTTTTGAACCTAGAAAAATAAAAACTTTTTTGAATTTTCCTACACCATTTGAACATTCTGAAAATTTATAAATACATAATCATATGGTAAAGAGCATAGGGTCACGCAAAGAAGCTTCCACATGATTTATTAAAACAGCTGAAGAGACTTGCATTAGGGCTGTGGATTCTAATTGTGTAAAAATTCTTGTATATGTGTGTATCTATATTCTTATGTTAGATAGTTTACTTTTGGAGCTTCCTTTAAGCACTTCTTCAGGGTGTCCTATTGGAGCAAACAAAAAGGGACTGAGGGAGTATGTATTTAGTGATCAAGAGAGGCATAACTATTATGCGAAAAGAAGACCTTCAAGATAATCAAGACATTGGATATTAATGTACGGAAAAACATGATGGGCCATGCACAACCATATGCAAATTCTTGCTAACAAATTAACTTATAAGAGAGTAAATTAGGTTGGTAATAGTGAGCCTACAAGGTTGGATACCAAGAATCAAATGTAAGCACCATTGATTGACAAATTTACTGGATCAAGATTGTAACATCCATGCAATTGAGTGAGTGAATAAGAGAGGCAAGAAGCATCCACAGAAACAGAACAATCAAAACTTAGAGAAAACACACACAGCTCATGATAAAGATAAAACTAAGGCTGCTCTTTCACCATCAAGCATATAAATTGTAGGAGAAATAAGTTCAGATAAATTTGAGTACGTTCATTGAGTCGAATATGTTAGAATTAGTAAGGATTTCAAGTCCAAATACTGCTAGAAAAAAGGAAGACATTCGTATAAGTTCTAACAAGTTCAGGATAAGGATTTTCTAATAAAAAAATACATTTCAAACATCATCAAAAAAATAATTTGTTAAATATAGTATATATTGTAATTAGTCAAAGAAGATATTTGTTCCTAATGTATCTTCTATAGTTGCCGTGTATAGTGTAGCTAGTCAAAGTTGTTTGTTATATAACTATCCTAGCTTGAGTTAAGCCTATTATCAAGGCTGTAGTTTTGTATATAAACGATCATCCAATTGATCAGTAATTAAGGAAAATATTATCCAATCTTTCATGGTATCAGTTAGCCTAGGGTATTCTCTCCAATTCCGCTGCAACCCTAGCTCTGTTATCCGCCCATATCTTCTTCTTCTTCCTCTCTTTCTCTTCTTCTTCTCATCGGCAGTGTCTATGGGGGAGTCTAAGTCGTCCTTCCATCCGGCTCTTGCCGTTCCTAATATCAATAGCAAAATTCCAATCACTCTTGAGATGGACAATGCTCAATATTCCACATGGGCGGGATTATTCAAGGTTCACGCAAAATCTAACAAGGTTCTTCACCATATCATTCCTCCGGCTAAAGGCGAGGAGCAACCTTCTCCATCTACGGATGCGGAAAAGGAATTGTGGGCAACCTTGGATGCCACGGTTCTATCGTGGATTTATGCTACTATTTCTCGTGATTTGTTGAACACCATTATTGAGCCTGACTCTACGGCTATGGAAGCTTGGAATAGACTGCGTGACATATTCCAAGATAATGAACATTCTCGTGCCGTGGCTTTGGAACAAGAATTCTCCACCACTTCTATGGAGGATTTCCCAAATGTTTCATCTTATTGTCAACGACTCAAATCCCTTGCGGATCAATTGAAGAACGTTGGGGCTCCGGTGTCCGATAGTAGGATGGTCTTCGGTTAGTTGGAGGACTAACAAGGCCGTATCACAGGGTCGGTATGTTGATTCGTCAAAGTAATCCTCTTCCCCTTTTTGCAAAGCTCGCTCCATGCTCACTCTTGAGTAGGCCGGATTGGCTAAGGAGGCAGCCACCGAGTTTGCAATGGTGGCCACTTCACATGATGATGGTTCGCAAAATTCAGAAAAATCAGGGCAAAATTTGAATTTCAAGGGTAAAAATGGTGCACAGGGTTCTGGCCGACACAACAATGGTGGCCGGAAAAATGCTGGTGGTGGTGGTCGCAACACAGTCGGCGGTGAAGGTGGTGGCAAAGGTCAGTTTTCTGGTGGTCAAGGTGGCGCAAATCAGTCCCCTCAACAATGGCAGCAAGCTTCACAATTTCAGCAGACCCCATATCCTTGGGGATGGTGGCCCGTACCCCCCTGTCCATACCCAAATCAGGGTTGGGCCAGACCACAAGGTCGCCAAGCTGGGCTATTGGGCCCACGCCCACAGCAAACTTATGTTCAGCAGGCTCCTAGTTCGGTTGGGCAGAATGGTTCGTATATTCCTACGGATATCGAGGCCGCAATGCATACCATGTCTCTTCACCGAACCGATCCGTCATGGTACATGGACACCGGAGCTACATCTCATATGACCTCCTCTATCGGTAATCTCTCGTCTTATTTTAATTTGAGCAATCATCCTAATAATAATATTGTTGTTAGTAATGGTCACACTATTCCAATTTTAGGGTATGGTCACACAAATTTGTCATCCTCGTGTCAATCCCTTGCCCTAAACAATGTTCTTCATGCTCCTAAATTGATTAAAAATCTAATTTTGGTTCGAAAGTTTACTACTGATAATTCTGTGTCAGTTGAGTTTGATTCTTTTGGGTTTTCTGTGAAGGATTATCGGACGGGGATGTCAATAATGAGATATGATAGTCGTGGAGCTCTTTATCCTATTTCTTCTAGTCTCAACAATCAAGCTTCCTTCTCTACTTTTGCTGCACTCTCACCTAAGCTATGGCATGACCGGTTGGGTCATCCAGGGGTTCCTATCTTAGATGTGCTTAGGAAAAATAAAAGCATTGATTGTACTAAATTTTCTAGCTCTAGTATTTGTGGTTCTTGTGTTCTTGGAAAACATATTAAGTTGCCTTTTGTCTCTTCTTTGACAAATACTATTATGCCATTTGATATTTTACATAGTGATCTTTGGACATCGCCTATTTTGAGTTCCGCGGGACATAAATATTACTTTCTATTTCTTGATGATTTTTCTAAATATTTATGGACTTTTCCTATGGGTCAAAAATCGGATGTTTATGACATTTTCTTAGCCTTTAAAGCCCATATTTCAACTCAATTTGAGCGTAATATAAAAAATGTGCAAAGTGATAATGGTAGGGAGTTTGATAATGGTCCATTTTGGGAATTTTGCAAAACTCATGGCATGTCATTTCGCCTTTCTTGTCCTCACACTTCATCTCAAAATGGGAAGGCCGAACGGAAAATTCGGTCTATTAACAATATCACTCGTACTCTCTTGGCTCATGCCTCTCTTCCCCCTAGTTTTTGGCATCATGCTCTACAAATGGCCACCTATCTTCTATAGTATATATTGTAATTAATCAAAGAAGATACTTGTTCCTAATATATCTTCTATAGTTGTCGTATATAGTGTAGCTAGTCAAAGTTGTTTGTTAGCTTTGTAATTATCCTAGCTTGAGTTAAGCCTATTATCAAGGCTGTAGTTTTGTATATAAACGATCATCCAATTGATCAGTAATTAAGTAAAAATATTATCCAATCTTTCATAATTATCACAAAACATTCTGTTATATAATTATGTGTGAAGAGAATACAGTTAAAAGTCATTTTTCATACCAGCTTTTTCGGATTCCAGTTCTCCCGCAGATATTATAATTGGCTCGACGTCCAAAGCCCGGAAAATAAGCTCAGTTTGGAATGTCTTCCCCTGACCTTTTCCTCCCCAAATTCCTGTCCAATAAGTGACAGTATATGTAACTTTGTCTATACAAAAATAAATAAATAATAAAAAATACAAAAACAAAGGTTGGAAACCTCTTCAATCAGTTAATTAAGTAATTGAGTATATGACTCACTCCTAACTGAACCTATTGGGTCACACACAATAGCATAGAACAGATTGAGCATTGGACTGTAAAACTCAAAGTCCAACACTCACAAGTATAACTAAGGGCTTGGGGAAATGTGCACATGCATGGGCTTGGATAAGTGCATGGCTTTGTGCGTTTGTGCATTGTTTCCCTAAGGTGGCTTGGTATGTTTAGAGTCTAACCAAGGCTATTTGATTATAAAGGCTAATGCATAAGATTTCCAAGCATACATATGTTTTCATTTGCCGATCAAAGCAAGAATGCTGAACTTAAACACCTAGCCATAAGAGTGAGGGGGATCAGATTTTGTTTCTCCATTGTTCTAAGCTAGCAATCTCATTGATAATTCAATCTTTGTAGTGTGGATATATCAATAGAGGGATCAACGAGGAAGAACATGCTACAAAATTCTATATACGTAGTACTTCCTCCGTTTAAAATTCTTGCACCATTTCTCCTAACACGATGCTGATGCTAATTTTTTATCAATAATATCAATAAGTATAAATTCTAACAATTGGAAATTAATAATCTATTCATCGAGACAATTCCAACAAGTACCCACATAACTATATTTCATTCTTATGTATTAATCACAAACATTAGTCAAAGTAGGACAAATTAATTGAGCAAAAATTAAAAACGGAGGAAGTAATATTTATGGTTAACATATATGTATCAATATTCTTTTTTTTTTTTTTTTTTTTTTTTTTTGCAAAATCATATTTTTACATCAAAACCTATCAAAATTTAGTGTAAGTTACAAGCCAATCAATCAATCAAAGCCTTAATCTCATAAGTGGAGTCAGCTACATGAACTCAAGGTAATTATTCTGTATAGTCATCCACAAAACCTTCCTCCTCCATCCCTTACGATCGAAAATCTCATTCTCACGCAAACTCATTTTCTTCATATCCTTCCTAACTCTTTCCAACCAAGTCATTTTCGACCTTCCTCTACCTCATTTAAGCTCTCCACGATCCCACTCTTCCACTCTTCGTACTAGTGCACCCTTATGTTTGTCTGCAATACCCACTTTCTTACGAATAACTTCATTTCTAATTCTATCTCTTAGAGTGTTCTCGCACATCCATCTTATCATGCGCATTTTCTTTTTAATTTGCTCCTCCTTAGAAGTCTTAACCTTTTGTACCATAACATTGGATTTATGGCAGTCCTATAGAGTTTCCCCTTCAATTGAAAAGGAATATTTCGCTCAGATAACACTCTCGTGACCGCTTGCCATTTAATCCACCTTGACTTAATCTGTGAGCCACATCTTGATCAATGTCACCATTTTTCTAAATGATTGACCCAAGATAATGTGAACACCACTCATAGTTAAATCCTTTCCGTCCAAAATCACTACATCATCGTTTGTCCCCTTGTGTGTACCAAAGCGGCATATTAAATATTATGTCTTTACTTTGTCTTAGTCTATACCCTCTAGATTCCCACCTTTGCTTCCATTTCTACACTTTGGCATTAACCTTACCTTTAGTTTCATCCACCAAAACAATATCAACCATATACAACAAATACCATGGTACCTCATCTTGAATTGGCCTGGTTACTTCATCTGGAACCGTTGCAAAAAGAAGAGTTTAATGCAGACCTTCCAACCCAATACTAGATATTGTCTTCTTTGGGCCCTAGCCTGTAAGGACTTGCTTTGGTGCAGGACAAAAGTCGCACCCCAAAGACCTCATTCATTTACATTGAGGTATCAATCCCTATGCAAGGAAGGCTTCGTTCTCTTCAACTTTCAATGTGGAAGCGCCATGGACACCTTATAAATTTATTACCATTAAATTAATTATTAAAAATTTTGGCCAAACCTTTTATGAATTTAAACTCTTGTTGGAAACTTATAAATTTTCTTTACAGAAATTTCCTTGAATTAAGTTGATTTTAAAGCAGCTTTGAATTTCTTACAAATGAGTCGATAATTACTTGTTCCAATGAGAATTGGTTAGTTTTAGGAAGGGCATGCATATGTAATTGATTATAAAAATTGTTGATCAATGTGACTTATGTGATAGCTTTACATGTCCTTTTTATGCCATTTAAGTTTATGCATGAATATATAATAGCGAGTTCCAATCATTTTTGTATTGTTGTGCATGCTTATGTTGTTTCCTTTTGAATGCTTGCTTGCGTTGGGAAGAAGTAGAGAAGAGAAATGTGACACGGTAATCATGTCCAAGAACAGAAAAGAAGTGGAACGTGGGGATACTATATAAATCATGGACAGGATTTAGTTCCAAAGTTAGATCAATTCGAGGAAGGGTATTAAGACTTGCATGAGTTTAGAACAGCTAAAAACAAAAAAGCATAAAATTAAGACTTACTAGAGGATCAGTTCACTCTAGACATCCTCACATATGACGAAGAAGATATGATAACAAGAAGGTCCATGAGCTTGTTGTAATAATCCGATATTGACATACTAACCATAAATTCATGAGCTTTTTGCTTCCTCGAGAAAGGTGGGTAAAAACTTCTCTTTCAGTGCAGTCTTAAACTACTAGTGTTTAAAAGGGGTGCTGACCATACCTTTTTCATAGAATTGGGAACGAGAGTTCAATAAGATATTTGTGGCCGTAAACACTTCAAAGGAAATGAAAGTTGACCAAGCTGCCATGTACTTGAAAGAAGAGGCCAGCCAAATTTAAATGGGAAGCCTTCGAGAATGCACTGAAAGAAAAGTTTTACCCACCTTTCTTGAGGAATATATGGGTAGTATTTCAATATCAGAGTACTACAAAAGTTCATGGACCATCTAGTTATCATACTTTTCTTCATCGTATGTGGGGATGTCTAGAGTAAACGGATGAAAACTCCCTGGTAAGTCTTAATATTATATTGTTGGTTTTTAGTTGTTCCAAACTCATGCAAGTCTTGATGCCCTTCCTCAAATTGATCTAACTTTAGAACTAAAACCCTGTCCATGTTTTCTATAGTATACTCACTTTCCACTTCTTTTCTGTTCCTAGACTTACCATGTCACTTTTCTCTTCTCTACGTCATCCCAACGCAAGCAAGCATTCAAAAGAAAACAACATAAGCATACACAACACTAGAAAACCGGTTAGATTTCATTATCTATAATCATACATTAACTTAAATTGCACAAAAAAGACATGTAAAGCTATCACATAAGTCGCATAGCTCAACAATTCATATAATCACATTTAGCAAGATAAAAGCATTGAAAGATTTATGACATATGCATGCCCTTCCTTAAACTACTCAACTCTCATTGGAACAACTAATTAACGACTCATTTGTAACAAAATCGAAGTTGTTATAAAACTAACTTAAACATATTGAATAAAATTTCTAAAAAAAATTTACAAGTTTCAAACAAGTGGTTTAAAATCATAAAGGTTAGCCGATTAAATAGTTAAATAAATTGGCTTTAGTGGTAATAGATTTATAAGGTGCTTATGGCACTCCCACGATGGAAGTTGAGGAGAACGAAGCCTTTGTGATATGGGGGTTGATACCTCAACAACTCAAGCTAGTAGAGCCCTTTTGGGTAGGGTATATGTCTTGCATCAAAGCAAATCCTTATAGACTAGGTCCCAAAGAGGACAATATCTACTAGTGGACTCATGTTGATGTGGGGTGTTACATCACATTTGTTGATACATCCAAATACATATCCTTAAATAGGTCCATGTACCTTAGTGGGATATCTTTCTTCAACATTGCCCACCAAAGTACCTCTCTTGGCACCTTGTCATAGGCCTTCTCTAAATCAATAAAAAAAAAAACCATATGGAGGTCCTTATTTACCCTATAAAACTCCATCATGTGTCTTAACAAATAGATTGCTTCCATCATAGATCTCTCGGGCATAAAACCAAATTGTTTACAAGCTAGTCCCATTTTTTAATGAAACATTAAGATGAAAAAAGCAAAAGTATTCAGTATATATGTATTGATTTCTCTAATAAAATAAAGGAGTGATGAGGCCTTTCTACTACCATTGGCACGGTAAATAAATGCAAGAACCATATTTCTTCAAGAGCATTGCAAGAAAATAGAAAAACGTAGATAGCTTAAGCTCGATGTAAAAATCTTTTTTTTTTCTGTGTTATTTCTCTTATGATATTCCACTGACGCACTAAGAATTGTAAAAAGTACAAACTTCCATAGATCTATATCCAGGAAATCTGAATATATCCGTTTATAAATTATAAAAAAAAAAAAAAAAAAAAAAAAAAAAAAGGCCTTTGTAAGAATCCAGCTAAAAATTAGCACGGTAATATCTTATTCCACTGTGTAAGGAAGTCTGCCAATATGACTGCAGAATTCACCCTAAATAAAGAATCAATCCTTGCATAACAATCCAATATGGAGGAGGGGTGTTACACTTTCATTAATTTTTCTCTTTTCTTTTTCAGTATCCAATGAAAAGTGAAATAGCAAGAGAGATATACCTAGGATTAGAGGAACTTTAGCGTTCAGATGATGAGCAATGAAATTCTTTACAATGTGGCAAACTGCATAAATAAAACAAAAAAGTAGATAATATCAGTATATAATCCAAAGACAAGATCAGCCTTGAAAGGAATTTATGGTACTACAATTACTAATTAATTGAAAATTCCAATTGCAACTTCTATTTATTAAGTTGTGACCATAAGAAAGATGGTGTGCAAGAAATGAGATACATTGCCCTTTAGATCTTAGTAATTTAGTTTTCTTGGACACTTCGTTTAACCAAAAGGATAACAAATAACATTCCATCTTAGTCTAATATAGGATTTCTTTGCAAAGATATTGGAATATCACAAACATAAATAGATAATCTGGTCCTAGCAAAGCAAATATACAGACAAGCTAAAAACACATTCAAACATGCTGCGTAAGAAACTTATCTTATTTGAACAGACATTTTAATTTAAATATAGATCCACCTAGAACAGTTTTACACCATAATACAAGTAGTGACTACCATTTTTGTCTTCCTCTCATTGTTTTTTTTGCCATCCCTATTTCAACTATACCCATAAGTACAGTACAAAGCATACTCGCTGGCAGATCTACGCAGTAACCAGGGAGGCAAGTGCCACCCCCAGAAAAACTGAAAACAAAAAAGAGAAGTAGTTGTTTCATTTTTGTTTTTCTTTTTTTGTTTTAAGGCTAAACTATACTTTGCATATCATAAACTGCATGTAAATCACAAATAGATACAGTTGCCTTAGTGGCAGTTAGACTTGTGCTTTATTTTTGCATAGATCAGGGTATCAGTTGACTCAGTTCACCTTAGAACCATTTGTGAAAAAATGTTATTCCAATTTTCATTCATCTTTTTTTTTTTTTTTTTTTTTTAATTTACTGTATCAAATATTTATGTTCAAGTATTGCTCGGTTGTTCCTCTTATTCATTGAGTCAATGGTGGTAAATGACCTAAATTTCAAGTAAGTGGTACTAATCTTACCTTTACAATATTGTATTTTCTGACAAGACCTCAATAATATTACAATTAATGAGCAATGAGTGTTAGTTTGTTACTAAAGTATGCTTTTATGCTTTATTGTTGTTTACTGTTGTATAGTTTGTCAATCTTAGATTTGCCACTGAGCTTACTTATCAAAAACATATGTTGATATTCCTGAAAGTCAGTTGGAGAATTGAACTGAGGTTGTGTAAGAAACAATATGTCCTTGGGAAAGCACCTTATCGAGTTATTGGTGGCATGGTTTGCAGTTCATGATTTGCACACCATAGATTCTGCTCACAATAAATCAGTCATATATGTAATATCAATTAAGTCATGAATTGTTTCAAAAAAAAAAAAAAAAAACAATTAAGTCATGAATTGCATAAATGTTGGCTTATGTTAGAACAATGAAGAAAACTGTCATCAATTTTTATTAGTTTCCTGTATCATGTGGTATTTTCAGACAGGTTGGAATAAACAGGAGACCAAGGAGATTAAATACAGCATGACAGATTTCAGTTACAGAAAGGGAAATCCAATCTGTAAAGACTGCAAATTACATGATTACTGATTTTCTGACCTTGGGGTGAGAAAGAGGAATTGGAGCAAATTTGAGAAGAAGGAAATTCATCAACAGATTTGATGCACGTCTAGTTCCGGATATGTATCAGGTAATTCAAATAGGTTAGCAGTCCTGTAGCAAATATTTTAGACTAATTGATCAGTTACATGCGCTTCTCATTTTTCTATCTCGAACTATTACGTTACTTGTATAATTTTATAATAATACAGACATACTAGCTAGATAATTATTATTCATTAGTCAGGTTAATCACCACATGTTTAAGGCATATTTCAGAAATTTGTGATTTAAAAGCCAAGGAGAATTTGGGTTTTCTAGATGTAAGCAGCAAAATATGGTAATTTTCAAGGAAATTTAAAAAGAAGATGACAATCATACATAAATTATTACACTGTTATACACTTATACCTATTGCATGCTCCAAACAGCAGATAGTTTTAGAAAATTCAAGCATGGTGCAGAGTAAGATAGAACAATAACAAAGGAAAAATTTGCTCCAGATACAGATTACCCTGTCACAATTATGAATGAAGAAATCATCTGAAAATATCCTATCGTTGAATTGTTCTGGGCAACTTACCAACTTTATCCTGTCACATTAGAAAAGAGAAGAAGCTACAGTGGGTTACTTTGTTAGAATATTAAAGTTGACAGAAAAGGGGTCACGTGAATAGATATAGATGAAAAAAATACAAACTTGATAATCTCTCCATTGATACAGACAACATCAACAATATAAGCATGAATTCATGACGTGAAGAAAGTTGAACATAAGTATTAGCAAAAACCTCAGACAGCAGATATGAACATAACTCGTAGAGTCAACCATTAACTCATTACCTTAGTCAACCATTCCATTAAAACTTAACTATGCTGCAAAAGACTCAAATAATTTACTAAAGTTAAATCTTTTGCAAACCAAAAAGTTCATGCCAAAGCAATCTCCTAGCAGTAAACCACTTCTTTTGGCTTGCACTACTCCTCAAAGCATTTAAAATCATTGGAACAAGTGATGCAAAAATGTAAAGTTCACAGGTTGAAAACTCAAGATCAGCTAATTCATTCACCTAAATCAGCTAAAAATGGAAAATATATAGACACGCTTCAATAGTTCTATATTGATTGGAATGCTACAAAAACTCAAGATCACATAAAGTCCTATATCCCATCAAGTTAGGTTCTAAACTTCAATTATTACCTAAGCAAATCGCAAAACACAAAAAGTCTTAAATCTAGACAGAGACATGCAAAAACACAAGCAGACTCAATGTATATCACAATAATCACATGGTTGCACTAAGTTAAATGAACAGCGTAAGTTGATAAGAACAACTATTGAAAAGCTCAAATCAAGACAAAAAATTGTCTGACAAATTGCCTGAACAATTCTGATTATTCCTTGCTAAGCTAATCCTGAAATCAATTGATATTTAAATCCTTACTGCTGCCAAAATTGGACAGACATGCACTACTGAGAAATCCCTAAGATAGCTACCCCAAGTTTTCTTTTACTAGACCTTGGTCTTCTAGCTGATTTTGTGTCAACAATAACCAAGCATGCAGCATATACGGTATCCTTAGTGCAGGCACCTTTGAATCAAGTCTAACATACCGCCAACTAATTGGAATCCATGTGATTTCAAACCTTCCTGCCTAAATGATCTGAATTCAACCATTTCGCACGTGAATCCATAACAGAGACTAAAATACTGGCTTTAAAATACAATTCCCCCAACAGTGTCACGTTGTTTAGTAGCTATATGACACAAACACATCAAATTGATAACGAATCATCTATTACCAATAAGCTCGCTCATGCCTAGCTCCCAAGTAATGCCCTATCAAATATTATAAGTCCATATTTTCTCCAACGTTGTTTAAATGCGTAACATAAGTGACCCTTAAAAAGTTGAAAGACTATTAAAATGATTAATCTTGATTTGACTGCTAGTGGTCTTTAATTTTAGAAAGTATCCATTTCAAAACCAAACGGTTCAGAAATCCAAAAAAAATGAATCATAACAGACCATGTCAAGCATTCACAATTAGATGATTAGGGTTACCTCATGGTACAGATCCTATTGCTGACAAGACTGCAGGAGTTAGTATGTACACACTACTCCGCCCTGCACTCCTACCACAACTAGCCAACCTTAGTAGGGAAGCAACAAGATTTTTTGTCATGTATTTGAAACCATTACAAGTAAGTTTTCAATCATACAGGTAATTAATCTCATTCATATTCCAATCTTAAACATTATAAAAGCAAAGCAAGACTAAGAATCATGTATATCATGAGAACATCTATTAAACAGCACGTAAACAATCACACAAATGAAAGAATTATAGATAAAGAAAAGAATCTAACCAAAAATAAGGGAGCAATGTAGTAATCGCCTTGCAAGTATTCAAACGACCTTGTGACCTTCTGTCTATAGTCAAATACAATGTCCGCTGCATATTGCCAAAACAAGAACAAATATCTTTAAGAAGTTGAATCTTTCTAGTGGATTAATGTAAGCAAAATCATCACATGATCCACAAGTATCATGAGCATACCATATGATTCGATTGAATACCAATATAAACGAAAATGACCCATTAATCATTTCATCTGTGTAGACATTTAGCCATGTAGGTGCAGCAAAATTGTAGTCTTAATCATACAGTTCTGTGTGAAGCATGTCCAATAAGAGTTTTGCATTGTTTGCCAAACAAATTGATAGTATTGCTCAAAAATAATAAAATGATGCAATTCTAATTACACCACATGTTAATTTATACTACTCCATCCCAAATAAATTTTCACAATTTTTTCAATCCCTTTAAAGTAAATTGTGTTTATTTTGGAACAGTGACAACTTATTTCACACATCCTAAACTAGGGTAATTGATTGAATTCTAAAGTACAACCTCCTTTCTTTGTTCTTTTTTCTTTACTACAAAAGTACAAATTGCAACATTACTTTAATTGGACAAATTTTTTTTTTTTTTTTATATCTCTCTTCTCGTCATTTGGGCCTCTTATCTTTCTCTCTATAGGTTTCCTTTTCCTAAAATACCGTGCATCTCTTATATTGCACTTAAAAAATGAAACAAAATAACGAGGGGAAAGTAAATGAAAATGATACAATTCTAACAAAACAGAATTTTCAACAGCAAATATAAAATGCAACAAAAAAAAAAAAAAAAGGCGAGAAAGGAAACATTGGATGATTTACAAAAGTATGGTTACTTGAAAACTTATATACACTTTTGCATCGGAATAAAACCTAATTACGGAATTACAATGCATGTAGGCTCAGATAAGTGTAATTTTTTATTTTTTTTTTCTTTTTAAATTTTCAGACTAAAACCCAAATAGCGGTTTATGTACTAAAACTGCTACTTAGCGCTACTCCGTATCTTTACTTATAGTGCTAAAAAACTATCCTAAATGTATTCTTAAGTCTACTGGATGGTATTTTTTGTAAATAGTTTCATTCCAATGCAATATCGTAAATAAGTTTATAAAAATCTATACTTTTGTAAATCACCCGGAAACATTACCGTCTCGGCCGAGGAAATTGCCGGCGAAAAGATCATCAATAACACCCGACTTAGCACCCACAGCAATGTTCATATTATCAGCCTCAGCACCAAGCCTATAAAGATAATCATTGCCCCTCGAATCCTTCGTTTCCCACGACGACTGCTCCGACAATCTCTTCTTTTGTTGCGTAATCGAGGAATCTTCGGATTGATTTGAACTATTATCATTGTCTATAATTTCATCTTTCTTGTTCAATTGCTGGAAAATTGTGAAATTAATTGGTGAAACACGAATTGGAAAAGATTTTCGGGTTGATTGAGATAATTTAAGAGGAAAGGAGTTGAGGAAAGAGAGAGATTTGAGATTAGAGAGTGGTGTTGTGTTCATGGAGTTGATTAGGAGAGCCATGGCATGGGAGTAGCTTTGCTGAAATTTCAGTGGAGCTCAGCAAATGATTCAGAGGATTGATTTTGGTGGTCTTTGTCATTTTGGCGCTTGTTCGAGTAATAAACTACGCCCGCTTTTTACCGAGTAACGTATGTATATAATACAAACGGTCTTATTTACCCTTAATTAAATAGGTTTTCCAATGAGTTTTCATTCACTTCATAAACTTTTACTCATCTCTCTCTCTCTCCCCACCAAAGTCACCACCACCAAGTAACTTTGACTCCTCTCTCTCTCCACTTAAGTAACTACCACCGCTCACTATGTATGAGGATTCGAGGAAGGTGTTGGGTTAATCTCCCCAAATCACAATTAAGTTAGTATTTTTAGTAGTAGTAATAATAACAATGTTGTAAGAAAAATAAAAGAAAGAGGTGAATGTATTTTGGACGGTTGGGTGAATGGACTTAAAAGTCCAAGTTGGTTGAATGGACTTTTGGGGTATTGATTGTGTGGACTGAAAGTCTAATAGATGGCAAAAGGTTTGATGTGAAATAGCGCAAATAATAACATGCACCCTTGTGCATGTAGTTTAGTGTGAACCATTAATTAAACGATGCGTTTAATTGGGTAATTCACAAAGCTTCAATGTTCTTTTGTTCCTTTTCTATTTTGTGTGTCTTCCAAGCTCTTCTATTTCCTTATTTAAATCTGTCCAATTTTCTGATTCTCTGTCTACTCTTCTTCTTAAACTTTCCTCCACTTTCTCTCTCCTCAATTTTTCTCTCTCCTCTATTTTTCTCTCTCTGCTTTGATTGAATTCCTTCATCACTTTGTAACTCAATAAGTTGATCACTCTGCTTGTATGGATTCGTTCATCGCCATTAAAATACTGAGCACTATGGAAGGCATTCTTATACATACTTGACGAGATCGTATGTCATATTTTTTTTATTACAATTGATATTAATTTCTAATTAGGTCATATGTTCTTAATGCATTTTAATGATTTTGCAATTGAAATGGATTTGATTGAGGTTTTGATGATTTGGCAATCTAAACTACGTACTCTTTCAATTATTAGTTGTAATTTGGTCTACTTTCTTATAATTCATTTTTACAATCAATTAAGCTTTGATCTAAGGATTGATGAGTTTTGTTTGTTTTTAGTATGATTATGAATGTTCTGTTCATAATTTGGTATTTTGAACATTTTTTGTTCATAATTTGGTATTTTGAACATTTTTTGTTTTTAGTATGATTATGAATGTTCTACTCTAACTCTATGAAGAACAAGTCAGAAATAGGAACTTATAAAGAGGACTTTTGAGCTATAATGGTTATTCTTTTTTTATTTTAATTGCTTAATTTTATTTTTTTTTCGGTTTCATTTATAATTTAATTGTTGAATTGATGCTTTAATTTGTATTTAATGAATATAATTTGTTTATATCATGTTTTTGAACATTTTGTTCATATAATTCGCACTTTTCATTTTATTTATTATCAAAATTGTTATTAGCAATATCATATTATGAATATTGTTTCTATTTTTATGAACACTTAGGTTACTTTAATGAACCTTTGCGTTTTACATAATTCTCTGAGTGTGTATATTTGCTTTTTAAAAAATAATTGTACACGTAATTATGAACATTTTTTCCCTGTATTTGAACTTTGTCGTTTTATTTTTGAACTCCAGTAATGATAATTATGAACTGTGTTTGTTTATTGCAGTTAGAACGTATGAAGTCGTTTATAAGGAAAGTATAAAGGCTGAGCAGCAGTGTCTTTAGGTGCAGAAGTTTTTGAAGGGTGTTCAGTGGTTTGTGGTTGGGGTTCAGAATTTCTGTGTATGGGGTTCAGAGGTTTGTGGTAGGGTGTTCAGTGGTTTGTGGTAGGGGTTTAGAAGTTTTTATAGGGGATTTAGAGGTTTTTGTAGGGTATTCAATGGTTTGTGGTTTTTGTAGGGGGTTCAAAGGTTTTTGTAGGGTGTTAGTGGTTCGTGGTTGGGGTTCAGAAGTTTTTGTAGGGGCTTTAAAAGTTTTTATAGGATGTTCGGTGGTTTGTGGTTGAGGTTCAGAAGTATTTTTAGGGTGTTCAGTGGTTTGTGGTTGGGGTTCAGAAGTTTTTATAGGGAGTTCACATGTTTTTGTAGGGTGTTCAATGGTTTGTGGTTGGGGTTCAGAAGTTTTTATAGGGGTTTAGAGGTTTTTGTAGGGTGTTAGTGGTTCGTGGTTGGGGTTCATAAGTTTTTGTAGAGGGTTCAAAGGTTTTTGAAGGGTGTTTAGTGGTTCGTGGTTGAGATTCAAAAGTATTTTTAGGGTGTTCAGTGGTTTGTGGTTGGGGTTTAAAAGTTTTTGTAGGGGGGTTCAGGTGTTTGGTAGGGTGTTTAGTGGTTTGTGGTTGGGGTTCAGGGGATTTTGATGAAGGTGGTTAAAATGTTTTTGAAGGGTGTTCAGTGGTTTGTAATTGGGGTTCAAAAGTTTTTGTAGGGGGTTTAGAGGTTTTTGAAGGTAGTTAAAATGTTTTTGAAGGGAGTTTAGTGGTTAGTAATTGGGGCTCAGAAGTTTTTGTAGGGGGTTTAGAGGTTTTTGAAGTTGGTTTAGTGTATTCTAGTGGCTTACCTGAAGGTTATAGGGGCTCTTGTGTTGCTTCTAGTGTTTTATCATAAGTTTCTGGGGGATGTTCAGAAAATTCTTGAAGGTGTTCAGTAGTTGGTCTATAATTAAATATTAAACAACAAAAGAAGAAAATACACAAGATCCAAATAAATTATTATTTCATACCAAAATACTTGATAACTTTTACACAAATTATTGCTTCATACAACACATATATATGGACATAAAAGACAACGTATGTGAACATCAAACAGGAAATATATGGACAAAAATATGAAGGTAATGAATATGGAACGATTAACATTAGATTTGCTAATTTTATTGCACAATCCACCAAAATTGGTCAAAAAGCTAAAAAATAAAAATCCTTTTTTTATTTTACAAAATACAATAAACTTTATATTAAAGTGGATAGAGAAAGTAGAGTTCAATTGTTGAAAATTTAAGAGCTTCTAGTAGTTTAAAGATAGAAAAAAGGGAGAATCAAAAATGTCAATGAGGGAAACAAAAAATAATCTTAATTTTTTTTAAAAAAAAAACGAAAAGGTTGTTGAAAGTTTTAATTTAGATTTCAAAGAAAAAAGATAATATCAAAATTCAATGGTGAAAAAAAAAGGCTGGGCTTCTTACTATTGGGCGTGGGCTTCTTTATGTTGGGCACGGATCCTTCTGGGCTGGGCACGTATTGAGCCTGGTGCACCTATTTCAAGGTGCACCATGGTGTATGTAATACCAATTGGTGAAATAGCAGTCCACATTAAATAATGGTCGACAGTGTAGGTATATACAAATTCTTCTATGGACCACTCAATTTCACGCGGCCCACTCTATAATATGGAGCTTCACTTTCTTCTCCTCATCCCGCCATTTTAGCTTCTTCTTCTTCTTCTTCTTCTTCTTTTTTTTTTCTTCTTTAATTCTCTTTCCCTTTTTAATTTGATTCATTTTTTTTTTGAAAGAAATTTAATCTGATTCTTTTAATTTCTTTCTCTATTATAATCCTTTTTTTTTTTTTTACAAATTCTTATTCTTCTCTCTCCTCTGCTTTTTTTTCCTTAATATTTTCCATTGATTTGCTGCAATTAACGTGATGGAAATCGTCGAAATTCCCGAAGGGATCAATCAAGGTTAGTTATTCTGAATTCATTGTGATCAATATTGATTTAGTTTTTGTTTTTGAGATGAATATGTGGATTTAATCCTTGTTTTAAATTTAGTTGAAATTCTTGAAGCTAATCTTATCAATTTCAACGGATTATGATCGATTTCAAGCTATTATGATCGATTAATTGATATATTTGATTGTTCTCATTGATTTGATCATTCTTATTAGTTTGTATGAATTTTTATTAATTGATTGTTTCAAAATTAGTTATATGTACCACGTCTATACTTTTGAACATTTGGTAAAAAAAATATGAACGATTGCAAATTTTGAACATTTAGTAAAAAAATCCGAACTAAACATCGAAAATTTTGAACATTTAGTAAAAATATCTGAGCAATTGCAAAGTATCGCGCTTATACTTTTGAACATTTAGTAAAAAAAAAATCTTAACGATTGCAAATTTTGAACATTTAGTAAAACAATCTGAACTGAACATCAAAATTTTTGAACATTTAGTAAAAGCATCTGAACAATCACAATGTATCACGCCTATACTTTTGAAAATTTAGTAAAAAAATCTGAATGATTACAAATTTTGAACATTTAGTAAAAAAAAAAATCCGAACTGAACATCGAAAATTTTAAACATCTATTAGTAAAAATATCTAAATTTTTTTTTTGCAATTTACCACGCCTATACTTTTGAACATTTGATAAAAAAAATTGAACGATTGCAAATTTTGACATTTAGTAAAAAAATCTGAATCGAACATCAAAAATTTTGAACATTTATTAAAAATATATGTTATCACACCTTTACTTTAGAACATTTAGTAAAAAAAATCTGAACAATTTTAAATTTTGAACTTTTAGTAAAAAAAATCTAAACATTGCAAATTTTGAACATTTAGTAAAAATATTTGAACAATCGCAATGTACCACTGCACGCCTTGAAATCAATTGGATTAGCTTCAACAATTCATCTTCATCTCTACTTGTAGAATAATTTGTTGACTCTCTAATAAATGTGAAAAATGTTTTTAAATTATATACAAATTGCAAAAATTTAACTAACAAAGAAATTTAATTAATGGTTAATTGCAAATTCAAAGAAATTTTAGGTTCAAAAATTTTATTTACACTTCTGCATTAGTTTCTTGCTTTTCATCCATGGCTATTCTCAAATTTGCAGAGGAGAGAGAAACGAGAGTTTTTCAGCATTTGAAAGAGTAAATGTTCATATTTAATCTTTTGTCATTTTTGTTAGAGTGGAAAGAAATAAACGAGAGTTTGGGCCGCATTATTTGTATTGTATTTGTGTTGTGGATTGTATTTGGGCTAGTGGTCCACCTATTCTATATGGACCAGGGTCTATA